ACCTGAGCCACCTGTTCATAGGGGTCCTGCCCTTAAACTATTCACTCTCTCTCTTATGCCCTCTCCTTCTGTTCTTTGTCTCTCCCCCGGTGTCTCTCTCTCTCTCTCTCTCTCACACACACACACACATAGCTTCTGCTGCCCTCTTCCCACCAAGTTCCCATCCTCCTACTTCCTACGACCATAAAAATATTGGCAAAAGTGACAGAAAAAGGGCATATCTTGATACTCAAGGGAACTCTCTTCCTGATGCTCCTTTGCCCTGGTTTTCCTGAGGGTCAGGCTCTCTGAGACCTGGAGCACTTAGCACAGGGCCTTGTCCATGATGGGGGCCTAAATACACTGATTCTGGTGCAGTCTGCAACCCCCACCCTCTCTTTGGCCTTGGGCCCCAGTTCCCATAAAGCTTCAGGGCAGAGGCAGTCTAACATAGTCCCTCCGTATCCCTTGAGCCTAGCACAGTGCCAGAGACTGAGGGAGCAGGGCCAGTGGGAAAGGTGTATGGACAATATCTATGGAGGCACGGCACTCCCATGCATGATAACACCCCCTGCATTTGTCACCATGCTCCCCGCCTGGCAAAAAGAGGTGCCCCAGGGGAAGCGTCTGCAGGCTCCCTCTGGGCCTCCTCCACCTTCTGCACTGACTCTGCCTGCCCCAGCCTTTTCTGGCTACGCCCTCATGCATCTCTCCCAACCATGAATGTCCAGCTGGCATGTATTTAAAATGAAAGGGAGAAAATAAGAATAAAAAACAAAACAAAACAAAACAACACAACACAAAACAAAATAAAATAAAATAATAAAATAAAATGGAGAGCATATCAGAAGAAATAGTATCTGGCTTTTACCTGCACTTAAAGAAACTAGGGAAGAAAGGCCCACTGGAAAGAGTGGGAAGGAACATGAGAGAACTTTCTGGATGAAGGACGCTTTGTATATCTTGATCGGAGCATGGATTACCTGGGTCTTCGCATTTGTCAAAACTGTTCAAACTGTACACTTACGATCTCTCTCTATTAAACATTATATTCTGATTTATAGCATCTTAGAAGATCCAGCCATGTGGATCAGGGCTTCTCCTGAGTCACTAACTCTGGGAGGGAGTGTCATGGTGGGCAGGGCGTGGTGGGGGTGCTCATGAGCTGTATCCTCCCAGAGGAGGTGAGATTTACTAGATGCACTGGCAGAGACCCAAGCATCAGGAGGCTCAAGATTTCAGAGAACACCACCTTAACCTACAATGTCCTTTATTACACCACCATGTACTTTTATCTACTTGCCACCCCCATGAGAAGGTATTGTTTCCTCTTCGGAAATGAGGATGCCAAATTTCTGACGTACAGAGTTATGACCCGAGCCTCGTTAGTTGTGGATTCCATAAATGTAAATTCACCTGCTTGTTAACATTTATTTAAAAATCCCAAAATTGATACTTCTAGCACCTTTGTGGTCATTCCTGGACATGAGCAGAGTAGAGAAAAATTGGAGTGGCCACATGCACACCTTCCCATCAGAGGCTGAAAAAGGTATGCTACTCTGCCTTCTTGTTTCAGTTCATACCACAAACAAATGTCCTGCTCACGGTCTCTTTAGTGCAACATTTTTTTTTTTTTGCATTTTTGTGCATCTTCTTGGTGACTTCACTGTTTAAAATGTTCCCCAAGTGTTGTGCTGAAATGCTGTCTAGTGCTCTTAAGCATGAGAAGACCATGATGTGCCTTATGGGGAAACATGTGTGCTAGATAAGCTTTGTTTAGGCATGAGATGTAGTGCTGTTGACCATGAATTCCATGTTAATGAAACAATTTCTATTAAATAAGGTGTCTTTAAACAGAGATACACAGGGGCACCTGGGTGGCTCAGTCAGTTAAGCATCCAACTTCGGCTTCGGTCATGATCTCATGGTTCACGAGTTCAAGCCCCGCGATTCTGTGTTGGATTCTGTGTCTCCCTCTCTCTCTGCTCCTCCCCTGTTCATATTCTGTCTTTATCTCCCTCAAAAATAAATAAATAAACATTGTTTATACGGAGTATGAGCAGGGCAGGAGCAGAGAGAGAGGGAAACAAAATCCCAAGCAGGCTCCATGCTGCTAGCACAGAGCCCGATGTGGGGCTCGAACCTGTGAGATCATGGCCTGAGCTGAAACCAAGAGTTAGATGCTTGGCCCACTGAGCCACCCAGACACTCCAATTTTTAATAAACAGAGACACGCATTAAACACAGTCATGTACTGGCTGGTTGACAGACATGCTGTGACCAGAGGCTCATAGGAACCCAGTCCTGGGAACCACCCTAGGCTGGGTTCGGTATTCTTTTACTTTGGCATTTGTGGTGACTTACAGAACAGAACTACCATGAGTAATGGGGATTGCCTATACTTTCTAACCCCCCATAGCACATTTGCAAAGAGTGAGAAGTAGACTTCAGTGACATCCATCCCAATTGTCCTTCTAGGTCCCTCATGGCTCTTCCACACCTGTTCTCACCCTGGCATTTTGGGCAAAAAGGAAGAGCTACTAACAGCTCCAGCAGCAGCTGCCGCTCAGTGCTGAGAAACAAAGAGAAATCCCTCCTCCTGCTTTCTGAGAATCTGTGCTTAGTAAGGGCTGTACCTACGCGACATATATGAATAAGACATGCAAACTTCAAAGGAAGACAGGATGCCAGATTAACAGAGGTGAGGAGAATCCAGCAGGAGCACCCAGCACTCAGAGGAAGGAAGCCTGAGGCTAGGGTGCCCATGGGAACAGGGTGACCAAAGTCATCAGGGGCAAGGTACCCACACCCACGGGCTCCCCGTCCTTCCCCAAGTGTGTCACGATTCCTACTGCAACCCCTGCTTTGCATTTCGCAGCACTCTGCAGTACATGCCATGCTTTCGCCAACGGGATCTCATTTCACCCTCCAGTGACTTGGTGAGGTGGGTGAGACAGGCATCGCCATCTCTAATTCACAGATGAGCTGGGCTGCCCCAGATCGCTGCATGGCTGGGCAATGTGGAATCTGGATTTGGTGGCAGATTCCTAAAGTTCATGCCCATGGCTGTTTTCTTTAGGCCACACTCACTGAGCGTAGAGCTATTGACTTCCCAGTACAGACTCATGGGGTCCTTTGTGAACTATCCAGACATCTCCTTGGCCCCAGCCCACCCCTGTTTTCTGCCACTTGACAGGAGGCAAGTACTGTTTCTGAAGGAGCAACTGAGGCCACACAGGAAGTAGTTTCTGGTCCCTCCTCTTCTTCTTCCTGGTTGGCTCAGCTCTGGGTATATATAGGGGTACTCACAGTCTCTCCGCTTCCTTCTCAGAGCCTCTGGGTCCCTCTTCCTCACAGGGCTTAGCGCTATGTGGGGTGGATCAGTATCACTGGGCAGGATCAAAGCTGACCTGTCTTTGGCTCCCACAGGCATAGAGTGTCCAAGAGAGGCCAGCCTTCCTGATTGTTCTTGAAGGATGCCGTGTCTGAGCACCCCATCCCAGGAGCAGCTGAGCCACCCTTGGCTGAGGAGAAAGCCAACTGGCCCAGGCCTTAAAGGAAGCAATGGATCTGGAGCACTGTCCCTTTCTGAGAGGACTCATTGTGGGGGGAAAAGCAAATGACTTCCATTCGGCCTTGCCACTTCGGCAACTCCTCTGTGCTGTTCAGAGCTGAACAGAGTTCTGAATGCAATAGTGCATATTCTGTCATGCTGGCCACTCTTGGACTCTGCTACTTTCTGTTACCATACACACATTTGCGTATATTCCCACCCCCAGTTTCCAGTCATCTCTCAGTTATGTGGGCCAGTGGGTCTCGGTTTTCCCCACCATAACACACATGAAGGATTTCAGACCTTCCCTCAAAGAGCACAAGGACTCGTTATGCATGAGCCTGTTCCCCAGGGATGGGAGGGTGACTACTCTCTTGGACAGGATGGACACCTAAGAGGACATTTCTCACTTTCAGAAGCATTCCTGAATTCTGAGCCAGCATTCCTAGGAGCAAGATCCTGTCCAACCTTCTTACAGTTGGAAATGACTAGAAATTGTCATTGGTCACATATAGTCCAGGGTCTTAGCAGGAAGATTAAAGCCTTTCTCCTTAATGTATAACACGTGTGTTCAACATGCAGGATGTCAGCTTCAAGTGTTGACTAGAAGTCCAGGGTTCCAGCAACAGTAGTTTAACTGGGACCAAATTCCCTCCGAGTGGGGCCCAACTATTGTTGGCTTCTCCAGTCAGCAATGCCACGGGCTTTGGATCTCCAAAGAAGTGACTTTAGTCCCCACACTGTACCCTGCATCCCAGTCTTCAGATCACTTAGCAGGCTACCATTTACCTCCACTGTATACCATTGCCTTCTCCCCTCTTCTAGAGAATACTATGGAACCAGCACAAAAGGGTACATAGGGAGAGCACCCAGCACTTGGGACAGGACTTCACTGGCCTAGTGACCCCAGGCCCAGGGTCCCCTGAGAGCCAGATGGGTACACTGACAGCAGAGGGAGGGTCTAGGTGCTGCACACTCAAAATGTACCCCTCAAATACCAGAAGTTTCTGGGGGGGGTATTGAAGAGTGTGCTATGTGGATGTTGAATCACTAAATGGAAAGCACATTCCTCACCCATGATTTTGTGGCTCATATGAGCCTTGAGAAAAAAGTCCAATGCCTTTTTCCTGGCATTCAGTCCTGCAACGTCAGTCTGCAGCCATAGTCAGAAATATCCAGGAACCTCCCTCCAGCCTCTAGAGTGTTACAACCCACGTGATCCCATATCCTAACTCATCATCATTCCCATGCTGATATTTGCATATATTTCTTATGGGAATTTGGCAATTTAAAGTGAAATTAGAACAAAAGAAGGGAATGGGATTTGCAAAGGATACAAAAAAGGAAGGGGAAGAAAAGGCAGGGAGAGAAGAGATCAAAGAGAAGGAGACTGGTGACAGGGAAGGCGAGGAGGAAGAGAATTATGGGCAGAGTGGGGGGCAGAAGGAAGCTGCCTAGCGGTACTCACGTGTTGTGGAGCACACACCAGCCACAGTGAGGATCACCAGAGCCAAGGCACTCGCTGCAGGTCCGATACTGACCACAGGACTCCACAGGGACTCTGGTGAGCTAGGACAGGAGGACAAGAAATGGGTGATTAGGATTTTGCAAAACTCCCAACAGTTCACCAAGAAGAGGTGTTATTCTATGAGCCATATCACCTAAATCAGTGTGATAGAGGCCAGAATGTGAATGAATGTGAAGAGGCCAGAGCTCTAGAACCAGAAGGGAACTTGAAAAAAAAAAAAAAAAGAAGTTTATTTATTTATTTTGAGAGAGAGAAAATGTACACACAAGTGGGGAAGAGAGAGAGAGAGAGAGAGAGAGAGAGAATCCCAAGCAGGCTCCTCATTGTCAGTGTGCAGCTTGATATTGATATGAGGCTTGAACTCACAAACCACCAGATCATGACCTGAGCCAAAGTCAGATGTTTAACTGACTGAGCCACCTAGGTGCTCGCAGATATTATTTGAGCAGGTGGCCACATATGCGTCCAGGGGAGACAGCCACCTGTCATTCTTTTAGGAGTCTTTGAAAATAACTTCCTTAGAGTTCATATGAATTGTTATGAAAGATATTTGTATTGATGCATTTAAACTTTCCCACTATCAAAACCCCAAAATATCTCTACAACATCCAATACATGACCTACTGACTTCTTATCAATATAATAAATCCAAATGTTTATTCTTTGTCCATTCTTGTTTTTGCTTCCTTCCTTCCTTTCTTCCTTCTCTTCCTCCCCCCCTCTCATTCTGTCTCTTTCTCTCTTCTCTCTCTCTCTCTCTCTCCATAGTGTTCTGCTTTCTTTATAGTTCCCCTCCTTTTGTTTTATCATATGTGTGGTCCAAGAGAGCACACAAGCCAACTCCCAGACTTTTCTCTTTCTTGTTCTCTGTGTCTTCGACCTCACTTTGTAGCTGTTAACCTGCCCTCTCTTTCTCATGCTGTTGCTCAACTGGCTCTAAAAGTTCTTCATTCTGGTGCTTTCATAGAACCACTATTGCTACCTCTCCTCCTGCCCACACCCTTTCCATGACTGGAGGCTTCCTCTCCACCCCCAAAACCATATGCTTGCTTTTGCCAGCTGGTTATTAATGTAAAGTGCTCCACATGACATTTCTGCTTAGACCAAATGCTCCCATTGCCTGCATGCTCTGAAATATCTTTTGCATTTCTTTGTTCTCCAGTGTAGCTTCGCCTGGATGTCTTTTTACATGACTTCTCAGGGCCCTATACATAGGAGGTACTTAATCATGATACCCAGGATCAAATGAATTTTAATTTTCTTTCAGCGGCCTTGGTCTTTATTCTCTATTTTGCCAGTTTCTTCCTTACAAAAAAATTTTTTTAAAAATCATCCTTTTCTATTTGGGGCACCTTTTTATCTCAGCAGAAGACTTCTTACCTAATTTTTCAGCTTGTGCTAAGAGAATGCGATGTGGCCGCCCTTTTTAATTTTTTGCTGTCAGACAACAGGCACCAAGAAGTACCAAGCCTGCTGAGCTGACCGAGCCTCCGTGTTTCGTAAGTAAACGCACAGGCTGTGTCCCCTGCTGCCGCCCGGGCATCTGTTTCCCTAAGATTATGTACACTTGGCAGGGGCTACTTGTAACTCACGCATAGGCCAATTGGCACCATGGTCTGCTCAATTAGTCTCAAAACTGTCTTTTGGAATTAATTAATAATTAATCCCAAACCCCATATGATCTCTTTTCCCTTTCTACCTTCATTTACTTATTCCCTTTACGTGGCTTTTTGTTTTGTTTCCTCAAGCGCCTGCTGAGCCGTCTTAATGACCGTGCTGCATTTTTACTTCTTCCCAGTTACCTGTTGGCCTCCTCCTCCCATTCTTCTAGCTTTGCCCTTGGCCTTTGTGGCCCTCTCAGCTGTCATTCTGCACTTGTGGGATTTTTATCTTTCCTGTTATTACCGCTCCCATAACCTACAGGGGCCATGCCTCAGCTCTGCCTACATGCAACCTTCCCATTCTTGCAATTAATTCTGACAATCAATTTCATACAAATTGCCCTGCTGGCTCTACACCTAGCCAGGAACTTACCCTATTCCAATTGCCTCTTTAATTTCTTCCCTCATCCCTTAAGTGGGTACAGACATGCTGCTCATGTAAGCATATGAATAGTGGTTCTCAGCCCAAAGTACCTGGACTCCCAGGAATCCATGAGCGCTAATAAGGTCCACAAGCTATTTTCAATATTTCCAAAAGCCTAATGGAAATTGGATTGTTGCTGTTTTCTTTTTTGTGTGCATACACAGTGATGTATGTCCCACATTAAGAATAGGAAATATATTATTACTTAATAAATGCAGTTTGTTTAGCAGGCAAAAATCTTTGAAAACACGATGCCTAGAGGGGAAGAAGTAATAAAAGGGGCCATGGATGGTGAAAGTTGGTAACACAAGTACATAATAATGTTTTCATGCGTTCCAGCTGCTTGCCTAGCACTCCACATTTTGCATGGGCTTAAGGAGAAAATCATGGCTTGTTCAATCAAAAGCATTTTCTTGGTCTAAACTTAATTAATATCCTCCCCAGTTTCTTCCAATGACATGTTCTATAATGTATCTTAGATGGATGGGCCATGGGGCTCCGGGGGTATGCCAGCTGCTTGGCGAGCCCGATGTTCTCGAAAGGCTTTGCATTCAGATTTCTAAAAATATCTTGCAACTGGTGTTTAATAATGCCAATACCTAGAATTATAAAATCCTTTCCTCGCCCGATTTTAAACGAGAGTGATTTTAGTTTGGTTGGAAAGAGTGTAGGAGCCCACAGAGCGAGAGTCAAATCCTGGCTCCAACATTTACCAGCAATGAGGTCCTCCTCTCCCTCTGGGTCTCATTTTCCCTCGTCTTTAAACATGGAAATAAAAATCCCCCTGTACCTCCCAAATTCATGGCATTTCCCAGAGCACGGATGACCTGGTAGGTGTGAAGTTGCTTTGTAAATGCATGAGCACATTACAAGTGATGGTTATTATTGTCATCTTTGTCACTGATCTCCCGTTCTTCATTGCACCGACACATTACCTCTACGCCACATCACAGGAAACTGCTCTGGCAGGTTCCCCCGGACCCACTAACTCCACCAGGAGTGTAACAGGCCAGGAAGAACTTTTCTTCTTTAGCACCTTGATCATACCGTTTCCTCCTTGAACTGCGATGTCTGCCCCTAACCCGTTATTGCTTCATCTTTGGAATGAAACTCTGGGGTAGCCCTGCTTCCTGGACTTATTCAGTGCTTTTACCAGATACTGTAACAGGCATGTCTTTCTCTCTGCTTTTCATCTAGATGGATCCCTGTGGGACAGGGGCATAAGTCCTTCCTAGGCAGTTATTATGAGACTCAGCTTCTCTCGACCTTTTCTTATAGGATCTTTCTATGTATACGTTCAGTCATTTTTGATTACTTTCCTGAGATTTATCTTGGCTTTTTCCCCATTCTTTTTAAAGTGTGGATGTTACAGACCAGGCCGGAAGGTTACCATTACCTGAGAGGGAGGGGTCACTTGCCTCGCCTCGGCAGGACTTTCTCAAGGAAGGTCTGTCCTGGGAAACCTTCAAAGTCCCATTTTCAGGCAGTATTCCTCAGAACAGCCAACCCCTTCCAGACCGACTCTACATCTCCCAATCTGTATGACTGCTTTGCCTCACCTCCCACCCCATGAGTAATTCTGGAAAGCATCAGAAAATTTTCTGACACTTTTGGTCACTTCTGAAAACTAGATGGAATATCCATCATTTATCTTGGTGAGATTCTACACCCTCATGGCTCCAGTTACTTTCCATTCCTTGCTTGGAAGCTGTATAGGTGCCCAGGTGGCTACCAAGCCACCGTGGCATTGTGATTTTTTTCCCCCAAATCTCCAGATTCTCCGCCCACACCTTACACCAAACAAAGCCGCCTCTCCCTTCCCCCATCGTCGGCTCCTCTTCTGACCCTGGAACACAAACCACTCCAGATGCAGAGCCACACGATTAATTAAAACCACCCCACGCTGATTAAAGTCTTAAGCTACAGTGCCAGGCATGCTAATTAACTGAGTGAGGGAATTCAGACCACAGGAAGAGGTGAAAAAAGAAAGTCATGGGGGGGGGGGGCTTCCGCTTGGAGAACAAATCAGATGGCGATGTGACCCAAGCGATCCTAGTGATGGATGGTCTCAGACACCACAAAAGACTGAAGTTTGTCCCCTGGTCACTGGACTCCAGGAGAGGTGTTGATTGATGTGTCTGCACAAGCTCCCTCACTGCTTCTAAAGACAGGAGCCCCACCGCCTCGTGAAAGTCTGTGTGTGCCTACGCAGTGCTGTGTTGGGAGGTGGGGGGGGGCACTCCTCGGGAGGAGGGGTTCAGACAGGGCCGGCACAGAGTCATTTTTGCACCTGCCACTGGGTTTGTGCAAAGACCTATTGGGCAGTGCAGTAGGAGTTCCTCAAAAACCTAAACATAGAATTGCCATACGGTCTAGTCATTCCCCTGCTGGGTAAGCACCCCAAAACCCTGGAGGCAGTGACTCAAGCAGATATTTATCGACCACTGTTCACAGCAACGTTATTCACAATAGCCAAAAGGGGGAAAGTCACCCAGAGCAACCCACAGCCAAAGCAAGCCAACAGAAGAATGGATAAACGAGTGTGGTATCGCTCTACAAAGGAATACAGTCAGCCCCCTGCCCCTATTCCCTGTCCGTGGTTTCAGTTACCCCTTTTCTGACATGTGATCAGAAGGTCAACAGCTAAGTCGCAGTGCCTATGCCATTCACCTCGCTGCATCTCATCATGTAGGCATTTCATCATGTCACACCATCACGAGACGTGCACTACATTAAAAGATATTTCGAGAGAGACCACATTCACATAACTTTTATTACAATACATTATTATAATTGCCCTATTTATGATTAGTTGTGGTTGTTAATCTCTCACTGTGCCTAACTTACACATTAAAGTTTATCATAGGTATGTATATGTAGGGTAGGAGATCTAGGGTTTTGTATTGTCCGTGTTTTCAGGCATCCACCACAGGGTCTTGGAACATGTCCCCTGTGG